TGGGGGGGGGGGGGGGGGGTAGAGGCACAGTGGGGGAAATGGCATGAGCGGGGACTGCTTCAGTCCTCTCTTGCATGAGTTCCCAGCTGCACCTCTTCCTTTGAAATGTACAAGAGCCATGGGCAGCTCTTGTATGTTTCAAAGGGATAGTGAGCACCCCTCTTATTGGCTAATTGATGGAAATTCCAATGATTACTTCATTAGCTGATTAATAAAAATTTAACATCCCTATTCTGAGTTACTCTGACATTTAAAAAATGCTCTTAGGCATAAAAAAGTTGGAGACCATTGTATTAGGGTGACCATATTTCCCTAGGCTGAATATGGGATGCCTGGTAAAATAATTCCTATTCAAGTAAGTTAAATGGCAGTCAATCAGAACTGTGTAGTACAAACATTCAAGTTAACTTTTAAGTTGACTGAGCCCCTCTAAAAAGAAATATTGAGTAGTTTAAGTATTTACCATTTTATGCCTGGAGTCTTGAAGGTTTGCATGGGGAGAGGTGATGCACAAACTCACTCCCATGCACCCAACTCTCCTTGTCCAGGGCTCTCCGCCCTCATGCCAGGCTGGGCCCCTAGGATGGACCCACCTCACCTCATACCTGGCACAGTCTTGAGGCAACGTGGGAAGCATGCAGAGTCATGGGCCACCTCTCACTAGATTTCTGTGAGGGTTCACACGAGAACATGGTCAGTGAATGGAGCCAGAGAGGTGGCGCAGTAGGAGAAGGTGTCTAGGGCACAGAGCAGCCCTGCACTGCCTGGGGACAGGACTTAGGGCAGGAGCAGCATATGAAGGGGACTGATCCCCTCACTCGGAGAGGAAGGGAAGCGGACAGTTGTGGAGCCTGCGGGGGCAGGGCTCAAGCAGATTGGAAATAGCTTCCTTACCATCACTCCAGAGTTTGGCTGAGGGGCAGAGAAAAGTTGTAGTACTCATGGACTGCGTCTAGACTGGCAAGTTTTTCTGCAGAAGCAGCTTTTGCGGAAAAACTTGCCAGCTGTCTACACTGGCTGCTTGAATTTCCGCAAGAACACTGACGATCTCATGTAAGATTGTCAGTGTTCTTGTGGAAATGCTATGCTGCTCCGGTTCGAGCAAAAGCCCTCTTTGCAAATGCTTTTGTGCAAGAGGACCAGTGTAGACAACGCAGTATTGTTTTGCGCAAAAAAGCCCTGATGGCGAAAATGGCGATCGGGGCTTTCTTGTGCAAAACCGTGTGTAGATTGGCACGGACGCTTTTCTGCAAAAAGTGCTTTTGCGGAAAAGCGTTCGTGCCAATCTAGACGCTCTTTTCCGCAAATGGTTTTAACAGAAAAACTTTTCCATTAAAAGCTTTTGTGGAAAATCATGCCAGTCTAGACATAGCCATGGTGTATTGGTAGGCTGTTGGTGAACTGAATGATCTGGTTCTCTGCACAGTGCTGGGATGCAGTCTTTTGGGGGAAGAGCAGGATATGGAAGAGCAGCAAGGGTGTGAAGGGTCTGCACAGTGCTGGGAGCAGGATGCAGTCTTTTGGGGGAAGAGCAGGATATGGAAGAGCAGCAAGGGTGTGAAGGGGCACAGCAGGGAGAGGACAGTGAGGGGGGAGCATGTAAAGGGCCAATGGGTGGGCAACAGAAGTAACATAACCAGCCCCTATGTACCAGCCACGGCAGTTAACTAGACCTAGTAAGCATTGCTGGTTAAGGGTGATGCTTACTGGTTAACATTCTAAAAATATAAATTTGTATTAGGTTGGTTTTTCATGTCTTTAGGCATGCCATGCTATTTAAATTGTTTGCTTTATTTTTGCAGAATGGAACCAGTTGTAGGTAAAGCAACAATTGTAAGACCATCCTATATCGCTAGTGTTGAGCTGCCTCCAAGAAGTGGGCCAATAAATGTTGAGGACCTCAGAGCAGACCTCTCAGATGAATTTTCCCTGGTTTCTTCATTCTTGGATATAAGCCAGGTGATGATGATGAACAGTCTACTTTGTTAATTTAAATTATTTGAACAATGAAACATCTATATGTCCTGTTTCTTTTAATGATAAAGCAAGCTGTATAAATAAGAGGGAGAACTTTTAAATTAGATGCTATAATAATGTGTAATAGTAATTAATTACTATAACAATGTATTCCTCTATTTGTACCTTCACCATCTTATTATTGTGAAGTTTGTGATTTAAGTTTATCAGAAAAATACTTTAATTATAAGTATTCCTTCGTATTAGGCCTTTCACAGCATCTGAAAAAGAAAATGTATTATAAGCGGCTAACTAATGTCACCAGAGGCAGAGAAATTCATAGACATCTGTACATATGTATTGCTTGTGGCCTATTTGTTTTTCAGCTTATTGTGAAGTTCTACTTTGTTACACTCTATATAGATGACAACATCTTTTTGCTCTGTACTTTTGATATGAACACAAAGCAATAATTACAAACAATAATGTTCAGGAAATGTTGACAGAATCTACAGTCAATTTCTGCATTACTAGAGCATGGCAGGAGATCATTCCCATACGATCCTTTGTATGCTAGTGGCCTTTAGTTTCAATTACAACTTGGCCTAAACTGAATAGCATAGCTTGTATGCCACAAGAAGTGGTTCTAAATATCTTATAAGGAAATTAAGGTGAATTTCTAGGAAGGCCAAAGCACTTGTATGAATTATAGTGTGTGCATGTGTGGGCAGCCTGAAATAATTAGTATTTAATAACCTACTTTGTTAATTATCAAGCTAAGAATATGACCAATGCTATTAATTGAAGGTGTGTCTTTTTTAATTTTATTTTTAGAGGAACAGTTTGAATTCCAAGGAACATATACAAGTTTGCCTTCGTATTAAGCCTTTCACAGCATCTGAAAAAGAAAATGAATCTCAGGTGTGTGTCTTCGTGTATTATGCTTTCATTGTATATTATGTTCTCTTTACAAAACTTTTTTTGTTAAGATACAAATGTACACTTTCTCTTTAAACTTATACTCTCTCTCCTCCTCCCCCCCTTTTTTCTTTCTTTTCAGGACTGTGTTTCTATTCAAGACTCAACTAGCATTATATTGAAAGGCCCTAAGAATTCCATGATCTGTCGGTTGAGTGAAAAAAATGTAGGGCAGATGGTGCAGAAATTCACTTTTTCACGAGTAAGCAGATAATAATAATAAAAAAATTCATTTTGCAGTGTGAAGACTTGTTAAATCTTGCCATAACAACTTTTTAAAAATTCTTTTAAAACTGGAAATGTTTCATACATTTAGCTGATGGAAAAATTCCTAGATGTAAATTTCTTCAGCTCTCTTCCCCTGCCTTGGTCCTTTTTAAAAACAAATGAAGGCCATATAAACTCCTTCTTGCTAATACTTAGGTATTTGGACCTGAAACAACTCAGGAAGAGTTCTTTGACGGTACTGTGAAACAGCCAGTACAGGACTTCTTGGAGGGACATAATCGTCTTATATTCACTTATGGTGTGACAAATGCTGGAAAAACCTACACATTTCAAGGTACTATTAACACTTTTTTGAACCATGAATTTATAAAAATCTGTGGGTATGTCTACACTTGCACCCTCTTTTGAGAGAGGGATTCGAATGAAAACATTTGAAATGGCAAATGAAGCCGATATTTAAATATCCCGTGCTTCATTTTTATATTTACGTTATAGTGCTATTTCAAAATAGTGCCATTTCGAAATAACAGACACTGTTAAGACATTTTGAGAGAGAACCCTTCTCTCGAAATAACTGGTAAACTTCATTGTCTGAGGAATTAAGGGTTATTTTGAGAGAGGGGTTACTCTCAAAATAACCGTGTCTTAACAGCATCTGTTATTTCAAAATAGCGCTATTTCGAAATAGCGCTATAATGCAATTATGCAAATGAAGCTGGAGATATTTAAATCCCAGCTTCATTTGCAATTTCAAATGTCTTCATTTGCATCCCTCTTTCGAAAGAGAGTTCAAGTGTAGACATATCCTGTGTGTTCAAGCTTCTAAACTTTAAGAATTCTAATACTATAGAGTGCCTTTTAGTTAGAGGTCATGAATGCCAAGTGCTTGTGGAAGACGGGGTGAGAAACAATAATGCAGATAAGTGGAGTAAAATGTCTTCTAGAATGCTTTGCCAGCACACATGAATCCTTGCATTTTGCTCTAATTAGAGTTTTCTGAGCAAAGACTCTGTTAGTCAGATTGTGACACAAGTGTTACAGTTTGAGACTTAGACCAATTGCCCCAGAGATCACGTCTTTAAGCAGTGCGCGTTTTGGTTTTGGTTTTGTTTTGTTAAAAAAAAATATGCCAGTATTCCAGGGGAAAAGTTGTTGAGTTCTGACTGGAGGTGCCGGTACTGCGTACTGGGCAGTACCATCACAAAAAAAGCACTGTCTTTAAGTATCTTCTGTCCGGAGGCAGTGCACTTCACCTTTACACGCAGCACTTAGCAAATGTATTAGGAAAGGGGCTATAGTGGGTAAGCCTCCCTCCTTGGGCAGGTAAGTAAAAGATGCTGTGACCCCAGATGTCCTTAGTTTGATAGTTAATATTATGGTCCTATTTTCTCCCTTCGGTTACTGGATTACATGATCATCCCCACTAATCTCTGAATGATCATGCCCAAAGGCATATGTGGAGAACAACAGAAATAGCTGCAGTGATATGTAATTTGGTTTGCCTGCTTGATTCTGTGTGACAACACAGAATCAATTGAAAAGCTTGGTTAGGAAGAGCAAGCAGAAAAAAAAAACCTATAGTTAGTAGGGATGTTTGAGTGTAAATGATTAACCATTTATCCGATAAGTGGGTGGGCAAGGACTGGTGGCTCCACTCCTGGGGAGGAGACTTCACTGTGGGCAGCTGTGTAGTTGCTGAGATTTTCAGTGGTTAAACGGTACCCTAATACATGATTTTTACCATCCCTAATAGTTAGAAGATCTCTCGGGATGAACAACTTTAAGGGAATAATGGGAGGGCAATCAAGTGGGGGGAAAAGCCCTTTCCAGGCACCAGCAAAAAGATACAATTGTATTTTCCGTGCCAGAGTCTAGAGATCAAAAGGACCATAAACAGTTTGCTAACTTTTGAATTGTGGGGTCACCAGCAGCACTTGGCACATAGATGCTTCTAGTGAGACACAGGTGGAGAATGCAGGAGGGCAGTCTGTCTGCCTGAGGAAAAGGATGGGGTTGTGGGTAGGAGGGAGAGGATCTGGGTTAAGTGGAACCATAAATTTCTAAGGAAAGGATAAGGTGTAAGACCATATATGTAAATTCTTTTGTTCGAGTGCTTGCTCATGTCCATTCCATGTAGGTATGTGCACATAGCGTTCACATGTCGTCGGAAATGTTTCCCTTAGCAGCTCCTGTTGAGCCAGCAGGGGATCCCTCTGGAGTGGCACTGGTATACTGGCCAACATATACCTCTGCTGGTCCTCCACCCCCCAGTTCTGCTCCTGAAGGTCATTGGAATATGTTCTTGCTCTTAAGTGACAAGTGCCCTTCAGGAGTTAACTCCTCATTAAATTCTTTTGTTCCTGTTGATCAGTTTGGCTTTATCTGTTCCTAATTAGTTGCTAAGTGCTGTTTCCTTAGTGTTAAGTACTGTTAGTGTTAAGGGCTCTGGAAGAATAACAGTTACAAGGTAAGTAACCATTCTTTCTCTTAACCCAGTGCTCTCCAACCTTTTTAAGCCCAAGATCACTTTTTGAATTTAAGTGCAATCCGAGATCTACCTCAAACCCAAATATTTTTGCCTCCCCTCCTTTGTGCCCTTTCTCCGAGACCCCGCCCCTGCTCACTCCATCCTCACTTCCTCCCCACCCTCCCTCACTTTCACCAGTCTGGGGCAGAGGATTTGAGGTGCAGGCTCTGGTCTTGGATTAAGGGATTTGGTACAGGCAGTTGGGGTGCCAGAGGAGATTCTAGGTGCAGGCTCTGGGAGGATGTTTGGATGCAGAGGTGCTCAGGGCTAGGGCAGAGGCTTAAGATGTAGGACGGGGTTCATGACTGGGGTAGTGTTTTGGGATGTGGGCACCAGATAGACCCTGCTTACCTCAGGTGGCTCTTGGGTGGTACAGTGGCAGGCTCATCTCTGTTCTGGCCCTGCACCACTCCCAAACTCCATCTCAAGTCCTGCCCCCTCTCTGCTCTGTGGAAATAGGATACAGCGTAGGAGAGGGAGCATCTTAACATAAGCACCCTCCTTCCCCTCTCCTGCCCTGCATAGAAAGCAGAGGCTCCTGAGGGGTCAGCTCCAAAGCAAAGGGCAGGAGATGTGCAACAGTCTGTGGGGAGCAGCTGAAGTGCTGGGCTTGATAACCTGTTGGCCAAACAAGTTAGGATCCCATCAGAGGCCCCAAGATCTACCAGTAGATCCCAATCAACTGGTTGGTTACCACTGTCTTAACCTTTATATCCATCTGAAGATAGTCTGAGACACATAATTTTTCTGTCTTGAAAAAGTTTGAGTTGCTTTAATCTGTCCCTGGTCAGTCTATTGGCCAGGCATTTTGCAAGTGCCTAATACAATTGGACTTGTTGGGTTAACACAGTTGGAAACAAGGGGATAGCAACCCAGATGGTGAGCTTCAGGGGAGTGAAACCTGTTACCTGAGGGCTGCATGTGAGGACTACAAAGGTATTTAATACGCAGTCATGATGGCATGTGAGAGGGAACGACTCATCCTTCCTTTCTACTACCTGAAGGGCCACATGAGAGTTTAATGTATTCATCAATGTCTTGCTTTCCAAGAGCATGCAGGGCCTTAATATAGATCTTGTATCTTGATTACAGGGACAGAAGATGATGTTGGTATTCTGCCAAGAACTATGAATATGTTGTTTAAAAACATTCATGGCAAACTGTATCCAGAAATGGATTTCAAACCCATTCGATGTAGAGATTACATACGGCTGACTAAAGAACAAGCGAGAGACGAAATTGCTGTTAAAAATTCAGTGCTTCGTCTAATGAAAGAGGTACAAAAAACCCTCTGGTAAAATTCAGTGCTTCGTCTAATGAAAGAGGTATACCAGAGGGTTTTTTGTATCACACGTATATTCTGTGTATATACACTGCGGTGTGTATATTGACTGTTGATTGAGAGTTGGTTGGAAAAATATTTAAACCTGTTGCCTATTTATTTCATTTGGTGAACCCCTAGTTTTTGCGTTTTGAGAAGGTGGTACTAACACTATTTTACTTTCCCCATGGCATTCATGTTTTTATATAACTCTGTGATCAGCTTAATCATCTTTTCCAGACTGAAAAGTCCCAGTGTTATTTATCCCTCCTCATACGGAAGGTGTTCCATACCCCTAATAATTTTTGTTGCCCTTTTCTGAACCATTTCCATTTCTGGTATATCTTCTTTTTGAGCTGGGGTGACCACATCTGCCCACAGTATTCAAGACATGGGTGTACTATGGATTTACATAGCGGCAATATAATAGGATATTTTCTGTTTTATCTATTCCTTTCTTAATGCTTCCCAACATTGCTTGCTTTTTTTGACTGCCACTGTATACTGAATGGATGTTTCTTCCACTAAGATTCTGGGTTGGCCAATATGGTGTCGGTCTAGACTCTATGGATAGCAAACAGGTTTTTGGCTCTGGCAGTGGAGTCAGTTTCCCATATTTAATTAAACTACTTCTTTGTACCCTGTGTATGATTTGTGAAATGTGCAATGATATCTAATACTATACAGGAACTTTACAGTGTTGCAAAGTTGAAGGAGATGTAAAATTACCTCTGATAAAAATGCTCTGGAATATAGCCACTGCAATTAAGGAACAGTATTTTAAGCGTAGATTTTTTTTTTTTAAATAAACTAAGAGGTATCTTATACAGTGCACAATCTATAGACTAAGGGTATGTCTAGACTACAGGCTTTTGTCAACAGAGGCTTTGTCGATTAGACTAGAGCCAGTTCTGTCGATAAAGCAAGCCGTTTTGTCTACATGAGTGTAGATACAAAGGACAGCGTAGATGCAATAACGCCTTCTGTTGACAGAACTCTGTCAACACAAGGCGTTATTCCTTGTAGAATGAGGTTTACCACCGTCGACAAAACTGCCGAGTTCTGTCGACGTTATGTCAACAGAACTCGGCAGTAGTGTAGACGCAGGTATAGTTTTTGTCAACCAGACCACTTTTGTTGACAAAACCCTGTAGTCTAGACATACTCTAAGTGAAAAATCTACATAATTTAAACAGTCTAGTGCTTCTGAGCTTTTAATGAGATGAGAAAGGTACTCTCAAGATTCCAGCTAGGTTTCTGTGCATTAGAAACTTGTAATTGAATTTTAAAGATGTCTATCTTTATGGGTGCCTATATGTCAGTCTGCACCTAACAAATTTTGAATACTTCAGAAATGTTCATATGTTTTTGTTTTTAATCTGGGTTGGGAGCAATTAATTGGGTAGAAAGGTTGGTGAAGGAGAGAAAGTAGAATAGTCTGAGTAGGCTTGTAATCCATGCTTAGTGGTTGAATCTTGGCCCCACTGAAGTCAGTAGAAACATCCATTTTATATTAGGGATGTTAAAATGGTTAACCAGTCAAACAATAGTGCTTAACTATTTAACAATCTTAACCCGCTACCTGACCTGTCGTCCCCAGAGTTAACTGGTAAGGGCCAGTTAACCAGTAAGTATACCAGTAACTGGTCAACAGCCCTAATTTATGTCTGTAGGGCCAGGATTTTGCCTGTTGTGCATAAAAATAAAATTTATCGTTGACGTTTCAGTGATATAATCACTTGGATTTTGTGGCTATTGCATGAATCAGTTGATGGGAATCTCATCTTGTCATGGGCATTGTTTCCCTATAAAGAACCTGATTTTTAATACAATTTCTTCTGAAGGTGCACTTTACTTGTTTATGATTCTTGGTAGATGAATTCCATCTCTGCTATTTGCAGGCATTCTGTGTGTGTGTGTGTGTTTTTGTTTAAAAAAAAAAACTGGATATTGAAAGTATACAAATGCTTGAAAATATTAGCAGTAAAAATTCCTTTTCCTTTAATTTAGAAATATAAGTTTAGTAAAAAATAGTACCCCATAGTCTTTGGAATCTTAATGTTTTTGTTTGAAGCTGAAATTAAAAAAAGACTTTAGCATGGCCTCTTAATGGCATATGTGACACAACTAGCTAGCTAAGCTTTTTACGTGAACTTTCTTTTTTGTTGCTGTTCCAAGCATGTTAGTTTGACAAAGATGTCTGTTACAAATTTGATGCTATTATCTAGTCTTGTGACGTGAACAGCCACAGGAAACTTCATGTGGCCAATAAACTTATGTTGGTGTACTCATGCAAAATGCAGGACAATGTAGCACTTTAAAGACTAACAAGATGGTTTATTAGATGATGAGCTTTCGTGGGCCAGACCCACTTCCTCAGATCAAATAGTGGAAGAAAATAGTCACAATAGATCATAACGATGTCATCGATGTACCGTAGGTAGAGAAGGGGTGAAAGAGGACGGGAACTGTTGGTGAAGTTGACTGGCCTTTTGTAGTCAGTAGTATTATGTTACAAAAATGATCTGTTTGAATACCTGTTGACTGGCCTTTTGTAGTCAGTAGTAGTATTACTAGTATTACTAGTATTAGTCAGTAGTATTACAAAAACGATCTGTTTGAATACCCATCGATGTACCGTAGGTAGAGAAGGGGTGAAAGAGGACGGGAACTGTTGGTGAAGTTGACTGGCCTTTTGTAGTCAGTAGTATTATGTTACAAAAATGATCTGTTTGAATACCTTAATTATTATGTTGACCATGACATAATAAAAACAGAAAATTAAGAAAAACCCTTTTGTTGTTTCTTTTGTCTTTGTATAGGTAGACTCTCAAAACAGCATTAATAATTACAGCAAAACTTCAGAATCATCTGAAGGTATGTTCTATATTAAAACTACTTAATTCTTGCCCTCACTTTAAGAGACTGGGGATCATTCTCTAGATCAGTGATGCACTTTGAGCCAATGTGTCTAGTAATTGAAAGTGTTTGTCATTGAACAGCTGCTCATTGGGATGAGAAACAAATTGGTCTAAATTAGTTTTTTGCAGATGGGTGTCATGGCACAAACTACTCCAACTGATAGGTTTGGCAGAAGCCAAAGATAAAATTGCTACAAAGACTGTAGTTCTTATCTAGGTCTGATTTAAGGGAGATTGCAGAATGGGATGTGGTTGTCAAAGGGGAAATTTGCCCTGCTAGTGGTAGTACTATTAAAATCATAGACCACTAGAACTGGAAGGGACTTCGAGAGATCATCAAGACCAGTCCCCTGCCTTCACCGCAGGACCAAGCAACCTAGATCATCCTTGGTAGATGCGTATCTATCTAGCTCTTGAATATCTCCAGTGATGGAGATTCCACAGCCTCCCTGGGCAATTTGTTTCAATGCTTAACTACCCTGACAATTAGAAAGTTTATCCCACTGCTCAACCTAAACCTCCCTTGCTGCAAATTAAGCCCATTGCTTCTTGTCCTATTATCAGGTTAAGGAGAATAATTTTTCTCCCCCCCCCATCCTTGACACTCTTTTAGGTATTTGAAAACGACTATCATATCCTCTCTCAAGTCTTCTCTTTTCCAAACAAACTCAGTTTTTTCAATCTTCCATTTTTAAGTCATGTTTTCTAACCATTAATCATTTTTGTTGCTCTTCTCTGGATCTTCTCCAGTTTTCCACATCTTTCCTGAAATGTGGTGCCCAGAACAGGACACAGTACTCCAATTGAGGCCTAATCGGAGTAGAGTGGAAGAGTTATTTTTGTGTCTTGCTCACAACACTCCTGTTAATGCATCCCAGAATCATGTTTGCTTTTTTGCAAGTGTCACACTGTTGACTCCTGTTTAATCTGAGTTCGAGTTAGATCCTTTTCTGCAGTACTCCTTCCTAGAAAGTCGCTTCCCATTATGTATGTGTGAAACTGTTGCCAAGTGGAAGGAACTTTGCATTTCTCCTTATTAAGCCTCATCCTATTTATCTCCGACAATTTATCCGGATTACCCAGATGATTCTGAATTATGACCCTATCTTCCAAAGCACTTGCAACTCTTCCCAGCCGTTCCAATCCCCTAATAATTATTATTGTCCTTTTTTGAACTTTTTCCAGTGCCACAATATCTTTGAGATGAGGTACCCACGTCTGTATGCTTTATTCAAGGTGTGGGTATACCATGGATTTATATAGAGGAAATAAGATATTCTCTGTCTTATTCTCTATCCCTGAGTGGAAGCTTTCAGAGAACTATCCACAATGACGCCAAGATCTGTCCAAGTGGTAACAGCTAATTTAGTCCCTATGTCTGTATAATAATATTCTGGTTTTTTTTTTTTAAATGGAAGATTGAAAAAATTATAGAATCATAGGACTGGAAGGGATCTCGAGAGGTCATAGAGTCCAGCCCCCCACCCTCAAGGCAGGACCAATTTCCATCTACACCATCCCTGACAGATGTCTATCTAACCTGTTCTTAAATATCTCCAGACAGGGAGATTCCACCACCTCCCTTGGCAATTTATTCCAATATTTGACCACCCTGACAGTTAGGAATTTTTTCCTAATGTCCAATCTAAACCTCCCCTGCTGCACTTTAAGCCCATTACTCCTTGTCCTGTCCTCAGAAACCAAGAGGAACAAATTTTCGCCTTCCTCCTTGTGACACCCTTTTAGATATTTGAAAACCACTATCATGTCCCCCCTTAATCTTCGTTTTTCCAAACTAAACAAGCCCAGTTCATGAAGCCTGGCTTCATAGGCTTCTCTAGACCTTTAATCATTCTTGTCGCTCTTCTCTGTACCCTTTCCAATTTCTCCACATCTTTCTTGAAATGTGGCACCCAGAACTGGACACAGTACTCCAGCTGAGGCCTAACTAGTACAGAGTAGAGCGGCAGAATGACTTCACGAGTTTTGCTTACAACACACCTGTTGATACAACCTAGAATCATATTTGCTTTTTTTGCAACAGCATCACACTGTTGACTCATATTCAACTTGTGGTCCACTATGACCCCTAGATCCCTTTCCGCCATGCTCCTTCCTAGACAGTCGCTTCCCATCTTGTATGTATGGAACTGATTGTTCCTTCCTAAGTGGAGCACTCTGCATTTCTCCTTATTAAACCTCATCCTGTTTACCTCTGACCATTTCTCTAACTTGCTAAGGTCATTTTGAATTATGTCCCTATCCTCCAAAGAAGTTGCAACCCCACCCAGTTTGGTATCATCTGCAAACTTAATAAGCGTACTCTCTATCCCAATATCTACATCATTGATGAAGATATTGAACAGTACGGGTCCCAAAACAGACCCTTGAGGAACTCCACTTGTTATCCCTTTCCAGCAGGATTTAGAACCGTTAACAACAACTCTCTGACTACGGTTATCCAGCCAATTATGCACCCACCTTATCGTGGCCCTATCTAAGTTATATTTGCCTAGTTTATCAATAAGAATATCATGCGAGACCGTATCAAATGCCTTACTAAAGTCTAGGTATATGACATCCACCGCTTCTCCCTTATCCACAAGGCTCGTTATCCTATCAAAGAAAGCTATCAGATTAGTTTGGCATGACTTGTTCTTCACAAACCCATGCTGGCTATTCCCTATCACTTTATTACCTTCCAAGTGTTTGCATATGATTTCCTTAATTACCTGCTCCATTATCTTCCCTGGGACAGACGTTAAACTGACCGGTCTATAATTTCCTGGGTTGTTCTTATTCCCCTTTTTATAGATGGGCACAATATTTGCCCTTTTCCAGTCTTCTGGAATCTCCCCTGTCTGCCATGATTTTTCAAAGATCATAGCTAAAGGCTCAGATACCTCCTCTATCAGCTCCTTGAGTATCCTGGGATGCATTTCATCAGGACCTGGTGACTTGCTGACATCTAACTTTCCTAAGTGATTTTTAACTTGTTCTTTGTGTATCCTATCTTCTAAACTTACCCTCTCTCTGCTTGTATTCACTACGTTAGGCACACCTCCAGACTTCTCGGTGAAGACCGAAACAAAGAAGTCATTGAGCATCTCCGCCATTTCCAAGTTCCCTGTTACTGCTTCTCCCTCCTCACTAAGCAGTGGGCCTACCCTGTCCTTGGTCTTCCTCTTGCTTTTAATGTATTTATAAAAGGTCTTCTTGTTTCCCTTTATGCCTGTAGCTAGTTTGATCTCATTTTGTGCCTTTGCCTTTCTAATCTTGCCCCTGCATTCCCGTGTTGCTTGCCTATATTCATCCTTTGTTAGTTGTCCTAGTTTCCATTTTTTATATGACTCCTTTTTTATTTTGAGATCATGCAAGATCTCCTTGTTAAGCCAAGCTGGTCTTTTGCCATATTTTCTATCTTTCCTACACAGCGGAATTGTTTGCTTTTGGGCCCTTAACAACGTCCCTTTGAAATACTTCCAACTCTCCTCAGTTGTTTTTCCCTTCAGTCTTGCTTCCCATGGGACCTTACCTACAAGTTCTCTGAGCTTATCAAAATCTGCCTTCCTGAAATCCATAACCTCAATTGTGCTGGTCTCCCTTCTACCTTTCCTTAAGATCATGAACTCTATTATTTCATGATCACTGTCCCCTATACTGTCTTCCACTTTCAAGTTCTCAACTAGTTCCTCCCTATTTGTTAAAACCAAATCCAGAACAGCTTCTCCTCTGGTAGCTTTTTCAACCTTCTGAAACAGAAAGTTGTCTCCAATGCAGTCCAGAAACTTATTGGATAGCCTGTGCCTCGCTGTGTTAGTTTCCCAACATATGTCTGGATAGTTGAAGTCCCCCATCACCACCAAATCTTGGGCTTTGGATAGTTTTGTTAATTGTTTAAAAAAGGCCTCATCCACCTCTTCCACCTGGCTAGGTGGCCTGTAGTAGACTCCTAGCATGATATCACCCTCGTTTTTTACCCCTTTTAGCTTAACCCAGAGACTCTCTACACAGCTATCTCCTACGTTCATCTCCACTTCAGTCCAAGTGTGTACATTTTTAATATACAAGGCAACCCCTCCTCCCTTTTTTCCCTGTCTGTCCTTCCTGACAGAATGTGCTCAGCATGTTTGTCTTAGACCTGCCCACTCTTCCCTGTTGAAGAAACAAAAACATGAACAGGGAAGAACTGTTCATTCTTCTTTTAAAAGACTAGGGGGGCAGTGTCCCCTGCTCTCTCTGCTTCCAAACTCAGCC